ACTGACTGATGTTAAGAGTGTACTTTCAGATATTTAAAAAACTGTGCCATTTTACAAACATATATAAATATATATATATATATATATATATCAGTCTGGCAAATAAACTAAAAAATGTACTAGCCAATGGCGATTCAATTGCCAAGGTGTCCGTAGAGGGTTGCAGGACCAAAATAGATCCCAAAAAAGAGGCAAATCCTAGCTGTTTTCATGTCTAGTTCTGCCTTAAAATCCTGATTTCTTCCATTTTGATGTAGGATGAAATCCATGGGATTCAGGAGGAAATTCGACTGTATGAGGCCTCAGGACTAGCCATGGAATAAAACACACAGTCACATGTGAACGGACAGAACCGATTCAAGCAGTAGCCATGTGATCCAAACATGATGGGAATAAAGGAGGAATTCTTCTTACTGAACAAGAGTCCAACAGGGTCTTCAGCCACACCAGAGATCTAACTTATAGATGATCATGCTGTGTGTTGCTATAGGACAAATTTCTTTTTGTACACTTCTTCTGTATAAAGGCTGAGGTTTCATTCAAGATGTTATGCTGCCTAAAAGTAAAGGTAAATGCAGGTAATCTATATGCAACATCTTAAATATGAACTTAAGATGCATGAAATCAAAATTGGCTCTATGGACTTTGTTAGCACTCAAATTACTAGTCTTGTGATTAATGAATAATCCATGCAAGTAAATCCAGAGAAAAAAAAGTGTTCTTCAGTTAGTCAAATTCTGAAAATGTGCTTCCTCTCTGTTTGATGATGCCAGTCTGACGGCTTGAGCAGAGGATCCTAAACCCTCCAGCTAGAGATGGTGTGGAGGTGTGCAAAAATCAAGCCCAGCCTTCTAGTCAATATCATGTTTCACCCAGAAATTCATCACAAAAATTTGGTTGCACCTTCTGGTTCAAGCAAACTTTAATTATCACCAAACGACAATTTTGGAGGGAAAAAAACAAGCTGGTCATGCAATTAATGTTAATACTAATAATTTTATGTATTCAATGTATTGTATCTGTACAATGCTTTATTTGTATCTCTGTATCTCATTTCTTGTAAAATGTGTACAAGATGGATCATTTGGGTATTAAACAAATCAATCTGTTTACAGATCTAGCCAACTATCTGTCCATCCATCTATCCATCCATCCCCCAATCCATCTATCTCTATGTGCCCAATCCATTAATCTGTCCGTCCCTCTATCTATCCATACTTCTATCTGTCTGTCGATCTATCTATTAATCTATCCGTCCCTCATCCGTATTTCCATCCAATGGTAAGTGATCGATTCTCTACAGCAGGGGTGTCCGGTTCCTGGAGGGCCACTTTCAGGTGTTTAGCTCCGACACACCTGCCTGAAAGCTTCTAGTACTCTAAAACAACTTGATTAGATGGTTCACGAGAAGGAGAAGACATTGTGTGTTTAATTAGTGCTGGAGTAAAGCTCCAGGAGCAGGATCCTCCACCCCTGACCGACTGCAACACACACATTTGAATATGTCTACAAAGCTGAGAGAGAGTGACAGACAAGACTCAAGAAGGTGTTTCTTCAAACAGACAGACTACAGCTGCAAATGTCTGGCCACAGCACTGCATTCACTGCTTAAACCCATGGTTTTCTGGACAAAATATTGCGGTAATGCCATATTTTGTTTATTAGGGCATTCTTTATAGTACAATGAACATACCATAGCACTATGACACAGAGTACCACGGCATTACTATCTGATACCATTATTATACCACCCACAGTGCATTTTTTTGTAAGCGTAACTGTTTAAGTAACATACTTATACTAGAAAAGAGACGGTAATTGTCATTATAATGACAAACAGGGTGAAGATTAGAGTGAAACAGGAGCTCGCAAGCAGATCTATTTGTCGATTTACACGCTCAGCTAACACATCTGTTCAAAACACACTGCCCAAACAAAGCTATAAATATGCGTACAGAAGAGTTTGACAAACCGCGACTTTAACAAAGCGAAAGGGACTAAACACTCACCCATTCTGCTGACGCTCCCGGCCGCCTCTGTAACCGCTCTCTCGCCGATCGACATTGCCTTTCTCCAACTCACGGTCCGGCCCACAGGCGTACGTCACATTTCTTGCGTAGTCTCCCTTGACAACCACGGGGGCTACGGCGGTGGCGTATCTTTGGTGAATAGCGTCCGCACAAATCTCGCGATAATTTCTGCAAGCCACAAGGGGGGGAAAGATTTTTATTCAAATACGGGTGTAGCAGACAATACATCTGCATGTTGGTGTTTGTAAACAAGTTTCGGAAGATTTGACGAGCTTGATTTTTTAAGTTCACTAAATAATTACAAAAAAAAAAACAATTGCAAATCAAAGTAAAATGAATAAAAACAAACAACAGATTTCGAACTGAAACAAGAAACAAGGCGTTGATAATGAAGAATGTTTCAACAAATACCTAAATATTAGTAAATACAAGTATATACATTAAAAATAATGTAGAATTAAACGATATGATACCTATAGGAGGCTGTTCCATACTTGAAGGGCCTCGGTCTCTTTATCCTTTATATCTAATAATGTGAAAATTCATAGATGCACAGTAAATTCCGTTCTTTATTGATGGACCGGTTGAAGACCCACATTTGTCTCTGGTTCCGTTGATTTAATTACCTTGATTATTTACTGCAATGGAGGAAGCAGAGAAGAGAGAAACAATGCTGCTACCTGCTGGCTAAAGAGTATAGCAACTTGACACCTTGTTAACAGCGCTGGGTATTAGTTACAAATTATAATACATTACTGATTACAAATTGCATGACGAAGATTGCAGTTAGAAACATCATCTGGATTACACATATTTGGTAATATCGTTTTTGATTACTTTTAGATTACTTTTGACCTAAATCGTTTATCAAATAAACTGGAATGGGATTATTGTGTATCGTATTATGTACCAAAAAAAAAAAAAAGACAGAAAATATATTTAATTCTTATTGTTATCAACAGTGTTGGGGAAAGTTACTTTTAAAAGTAATGCATTACAATATTGCGTTACTCCCTAAAAAAGTAACTAATTACGTTACTTAGCTACTTTTTATGGAAAGTACCGTAATGCGTTATATTACTTTTGCGTTACTTTCGCGTTACTTTTTAAATATGAGCAGGGCTTGATTGTTTTTAATATAAGAAGGAATTTTTATGAATACTAAATCTGTTTTTTGTGAGTGGGATGTACAGTAACATCATGTTCACACAGCGCACACAACGCCTCTGTACTCCCGATTTCTCACTGGTTATCAATATCATGAAATGCTTTAAACCTTACACATTACATTACAAACTGGGGTTCATGTAAAAAAAAACAAAAAAAACAACAACAGTAGGGTGTTGATGAAAAGCTAATATAAAAATGTAATATTAAAATTACAAGTAATATAAAAATGTCAAATCGTAATGAATTAAAATTTGTCAATGTGACCAATGTGGCCACCGTCATCAGAGAACCGTGAACATGCAAATATGTTGTTAAATTATTGAAATCTCATGGGGACTTATTTAGGTCCAAGTGGTTCAGCTCAAAAAATAAGCTTGGGAATTCCTACATTACATCAACAAACATTAATAAACATGAAAATATGACATTACATAGGCCAAAGTCTTCCAGGTTTGAAATATTTTTGTCCAGACTTCCAATATCAATAATCAGTGAAGGTCACTGGATATGAAGACGACATATTTCACTGCATTGGCAGTGTTTAGTAACTTGCATAGTTATTAGGTAGGTTCATTTAGAAAGGAAAATAAGAACTGAGATGAATCAATAAATTATGAAATATTGACTGCCATTGTGTGAATAATGTGTAAGCATGTAATCCATAAAAAAGTAACTGTAATCTGATTACGAGCATTTTAAAATGTAATATAATTACAAATACTTAATTTTTGGAATCTGATTATGTTTCTTACATGAAAAACTAAAACACTACAGTTCTATCAAATTAAATATCGTAAATTATAATATATACAAATGTATTTAATGCCAGCCAACATCAGTTAATGTTGCACCATGGTGTAGTGTTGCATAATGTTTAATTCTGAACAAACCCTTGCCCAAGTAATAAACACTAGGATGCTTTATGAGAGCTCAGTGCAAAATATAACAAAATCATGCAAAATGAAAGCAAAAGTCAATAAGAATTCCCTTACGTTCAGTTATGCGTTGCTACAAAGTCCTTTGCAAGTATTTCACATTAAAAAGGGACCAGTGTAGTCTTTTTGGCCCAATGCATATTTTATGACAGCTTTCAAAGATCGTTGATATTGTCAGCAAGAGGTACTTTATATTAATAACATTGTTACATGTTTCCATTTATGTTTCTATTGTATCCTGGAAAAGATTTAACACAAGAAACTAAACAAGTCCATTTATTGCTTTAGGTACAAGATCACATATTCAAACCTAAATCATACAGAAAACAAGGTACCGGTGAATAATACATGCATTGATCAATACACAAATATTGTGTTGATCTCAAGCTTCTCCAACATTTCTGCTCAGTGCTTTGGCCAGCTTGGTCTCTCTTCCAAACCACTGCGCAGAAAAACACCAATATTAAATATCATGACTTACTGTTTAAAACATCTCCAGTTAATTAATTTGGTGACTGAATAAAATAAATCCAATGCACTTGCTTTGCTTTATGATGCTCCTCAGCTCCTGCTTGTGTCATGAGACCACCGACGTTCTTCTCCAGATCATCTATGCGTGTTCCCATCTCATCCAGTTCAGGCATTAAGGAAAACCCTCAGTTCTTTGTGTAGCAGAGGGGTCTCCAACCTGCTTCTGGAGGGCTACCGTCCTGCAGATTTCAGCTCCAACCCCAATCAAACACACCTGAACCAGCTAATCAAGATGTTCAGGGTACTTGATCATGACATACAGGTGTGTAGGAACTCTGTGTTTCTATAGCACCACTATCAATGCCTAAATGAATCTGCTGTGGTCAGGTGGTAGCTACAAGTAGGAGCTCCCAGAAAAGCCCCATCTTACAAGCTGTAATTACGAGTTCTACGAGGACATGAACGCTTTCTACATGTTGAAACCTCGAAACTACAGGGCGTGAACGCACCTTTAGATCCTGCTTCGACACACATACCTGTAGTTCTCCAATAATCCTGAAGGACTTGATTTGCTGGATCAGGTGTGTTTAATTAGGGTTAAAGCTAAACTCTGCAGGCCTGTGGTCCTCCAGGAACTGAGTTTGACACCCCTGAAATAAATGGTTTCACACAGAATGAAGTCTGCACAATCAAGGAGCCCAAAGAATGTGAAAATCCAAAGTGTGTGCTATTGCCATTGCATTGTGTATGAACCATGATATTACTATGGTAGCAATTCAAATACATTTTATGCTAGTGCTATAGTAAACGCTTTAATCTAAGCATGCCGAGCTTCTCCAAAGTGAGATTATGCATCTGAAAAGATATTTTTGGAGATGATTTGGTCAGATAAGTTCTGAAACCTGCTCTGAAGTTGTTGCATAGTCGTCTCCATCTGTTTAAAGAAATGAATTGAGCAGATTTGTCAAACTTTAAAACAGGATCCCGCGACTGCAATTACACAATCTATAATCACTGTCAAATTAAAACAGATTAAAAAGATCACCTACCATTGCAGTCAGGTCTTTAGCGGCTTTTGACTCGGATCCTGCCATGAGGTTTGTTTGAGTTGGTTTACGTTGGGTTAGTTGTTAGTTATCAGCTCTAGGCAACGTTATCTGGATTAAAACAGCACGAGGGAGATGTGTGCTTCAGTCTCATAGATGTTTGAGCGCACATATATATCAGAATAAACGGATTCTGTAACTTTCCAACTTTTCACTCTCATTCATTGTTTGCGTATAAAAACTTCCTCTTTCGTATGTAGTAGGCTATCCACATTTAACCCTTTTAGTAACTTAGCTGAAAGACATTTATGTGATTTCCAGTGCACTGGAGGATAAATCTTTTGCATTACGCAGTGCTAATAATAGCTGTTTAATTTTTATGTCATGCATTATGTAGCATGAGGTTTGCATGTAACTTCATCTGGATTTCGAGGGGATTAAACGACACAAAAGTTCCCTCACAAACAGTTTGAGATCAAGTCAGGTCATGTCTGAGTCTAATATGTAATGGTAAATGTAATCCTCACATGCAGAAATGCTGAAATACTGGGGTTAATCGATGATAAATGGTTGTAATCTTTGGTTTTCCCTATCATACGCGCGTTGAGAAACTCGACAGGCGATAGGACCGCGCGTCTCATGAATATGTAATGAGCACGTTGTGACGTAGTGCAACGCGGAAGTACTGTTATGAGCTCTAGCCAGCTGTAGCAGCAGCAGAGAGCATCACAGTGGCTTTAAAATGTTTTACAGCACTCTGCTTTCCTTTGCACGGAGAAGATAATATGGACCCACGCTGAGGATCTGTTCCCATCGATTTAGCAAGTATTTCTTCGCTGGAAAGAGGAATCACTTGAATGAATTAGGTCTATTGAGTCAGTGGATGTTGACTGGGACAATGAAAGTACACTTACTGCCGTTGTTTAGAGTATATATATATCCAGTAATCGGCAAGAAATTACATTTTAAAATGTGAACAAACCAGCAAAATAGTAATGATTTATGTGTTATTACATTAGTGGGCTAGTCATTGCATTCAGTTGGTTTTAATAGTAAGGGACAGCAGCTACATCTCTCAAAGATGGATGAAGTGATTATGGATCAGATCATGTATGTTGTTCATCAAGCGGTGTCTTGGATCGCATCTGTTGCTATCATATTTGGAGGGGTTGTGCCATACATCCCTCAGTACAGGGACATCCGCAGGACCCAGAATGCTGAGGGATTCTCCACATATGTGTGCCTGGTGCTGCTGGTTGCCAACATATTAAGAATACTGTTTAGGTGAGTTATTATATCTCAACCATCATGTCTGGAGACACAATATGTGACTGCAGGACAGCTATATGAGGAAACGATACAAACACATGGCACGTGATCCACTGATCTGCCATAATCCACTTTAATGTGTATTTATAAAGAGGCATTTATATGACACCAGTCTTTAAAACATGTCATACTGGATAATGTGCTTGCAAAATGTTCTGGGTTCTACTGGATAATAGATTTCTTATTTATTTGTGTGTGTGTGTGTGTGTATTTCTTCAGTATTTCTTCTTCATAGTTCTTCAATCACATTTAAGTTTCTGTAAACAATTTAGGTTTCCACAGTAATAGAAAACTTAAGAATCTTTAAATTGACATTTACAGGCCTGGAAAATGGAATAATATAATATAAAAATAATAAATTATGTAAATATAAAATATAGTATTTCACTTGGAACTTTGAGCAGTTCTTCCATTTAGCCAGTTCATTCATATATATATATATATATATATATAATGTTTTTTTTTTAATTCTCATCCATTTATCACAAACAGTCTTACCAATTACACTAGTTTTAGGTGCAAGCTTACTGATATGCATAAATGAAGGGGAAAGTACTGTTATAGCTTAGCTCTTGGTGAAATTAAATAGAACAAGACAAGAAAAAGGTCATGCATGCTGTCTGAAGACTTAACAGGCTAAAGAAACTGAGAGAAATGTCCAGTGTGTGATAAAAAGTTTATTGGTCAGAAGATGTGGAACATCATGTCATAGTATGTGGTGCTTTTCTCTGAACTGTGTGTGTGTGTGTGTTTGTGTGTGTTGTTGTTATTTTTCCAGGCTTGGACGTTACTTCGAGACTCCGCTGCTTTGGCAGAGTATAATCATGATCATCACGATGTTAATCATGCTGAACCTGTGCACCAGCGTCCGCATGGCCACTGAACTCAACACCAAACGCCGCTCCTTCACAGGTGCCAAACTTTAGGACTCTTTACAGCCTCGGTGTGTGTGGAGCTGCAGAATCAATTATGGGTTTCTGTTTTCTAGGTTTCTTTCTTTAAAAGTTTTATGAAATGTTTAATGAAATTTTCTTTCCCAGTCGATCTGTTTAGTTGAGTTTGGTTCTTTGGTTTAAAGCCTATTGAATTACAGTAAATGATGCAGTCACATGGTCAGGGTCTGTCTTTGAGCGTGTCTCATGAGATTGTCGTACAAGAAGGGCCTCTGAAGCGGATGAACTTTGATCAGCTGGCTGCTTGGTCAACATCAGTCTCAGGTTTATTTATACTTGGGGTGTGTTACAGAGTTAACAAAAGATGAATTTGTTCTCTCAAACTGAGCCAGAGCACTGAACTTGGGCTTGGAATGTAATACGTGTATTGTGTACTGTTTACTAATTTTTAAGAATAATATGTGATCCAGTGTTTAGTATGTAACGGCTTTAATTTTTCAAACTTGGTGAATCAAGCACATTTTCAAACAAATTGAATCAAGATACAACCCAACATTGAAATTCAAGTCTTAAGGTTCCCATGATCTCGTTTTGAACTGACCTGTGTGATACACATAGAAATTAATGACCGTCTTCAGTAGTTTGACAGTGATATCACTTTTTGGTGTTTTTGACAGAAGTCTTTCATAGTTGCCAAGGCTGCCTTTATTTGATCCAAAAAATGCAGTAAAAACAGTAATATTGTGAAATATTATTTCAATTTAAAATAACTGTTTTCTTTTTGAATATATGTTCAAATGTAATTTATTCCTGTGATGCAAAGCTGAATTTTCAGCAGCCATTATACGCCAGTCTTCAGTGTCACATGATCCAAGAAACATTATTATCAGTTGTAAATAGCTTTGCTTAATATTTTTGAGGAAACCGTGATACGCTACCATTCAAAAGTCTGGGTAAGTATGATTTTATAATAAACATAAGCAGGGGAAAAAATCAGCAGAATGATTTCTGAAGGACAATGTAAAATTAAATTTTAAAAATATTAAAATAGAAAAGTTATTTAAAATTGTTATTATAATATTTTACAATGTTACTTATTTTACTGTAACAAATAAAAGCAGCCTTGGTAAGCATAAGATACTTCTTTCAATGTAATATTGAATAAATATTATTTGATTTTTGACTATCTGAATCATATTTCAACCCAAAATCATGAAAAATGACAATGTTTTGCTTAAGAAAAATTAAACAAATTATCATGAAAATAATGTTACAATGCCGCATATCATAATGGTTCTAAAAATTTGTTTTTTCTTGTTCTTCATGAAAAAAAGTTCCTTAACTGTTGGTTTTAGGTTGAAATATGACTTGGACATGTTTTCATGAGTTTCATCCCTTCAAGGCTTTTTGTGTCCTCGAGAAGATGGAGCGATGCAATCTATTTTCTCTCTCTCCCCCAGTTCTTATTTTGTGTTTATTTGTCTTATTTGTCTGAAGCAACAGACAGTAAGGATGAAGAAATCAAAGTTCCTAAGAGGCTCTTTCTGGGTATGTACTGATGTGTTGCCCACAAACACCAGTCTAATATTATAGATTTATTCCCCTTCCCATCATCCACCCCTCTCATTTCCTCCCAGTATGACCTGGACAGAACCGAATATTCCTCTAATCCTGCCATTAATTCACAGCTCTCTATTAACCCCGAACTTTCACTTGCATGTATCTAAAACAGACATAAGTGTATAAGAATTAATGCATGTTTCGTTAGTGATAGAGGCCGTTTTGCATGCATTCTGTTGAGTTGGATGCTATTGCATGCATATAGATGAGCGTGACTTGCTTTTTAATTGATATCAGTTTGTGTATGGCTCACATGAACTATTCAGTCAAAGAGATTTTAAAATAATTCAGTTTTCATGGTTCTAACAGCTCATTTAACTGGTTGCCAAATCAGTAATTGAATAATATTTTATATCGCTGCATACTGTGCTATTTTATACTTGTGTGTTCTTCTTGGTGGCTTTATGATTTAACCCTGTAACACTCAGAAGAGCCTTGCATGTGTTTGGCTACTGGGCTGATTGTAATTGCAATGTCACATGACACAGGCATGTTTTCACTGAAAGCTTCTTGGCACCCGTGGTTTTTGTTGCTCTACATGAACAGCAGGTGGCGTTAGTAGTTTATTCCTGAGATCTGATCTTGTACAGTCATTTAATGTATTAAGGAAAATCCTGACCTTCTGCCAGAGCAAGCAGGACCTTTTTTTTTTTTTTTGTGGTCCGAAAAAGAAAGAAGGGCACACGGCATTAAAACAATGCTCAGCAGGTTGAGTAAATGATAACTTAATTTTCATTTTTGGGTGAACTGTCCCTTTAAGTCATCCTGCAGCCCCTTTGAAGTATGCCCCTTGTGGGCCCCGGCTCCCTGAATGAGAACCACTGGTTTAGACTTTAGACTAGTTTAGTCACTTAAGACTAGGTGGTGTGGTGGTTAAAGATCTGGGCTAGTAGCCCAAATATTGTAGGTTTGAACCTGTGAGGGGCGATCCCTTCACTCACCTTTTGTTCAAGACACTGAACCTCAGGTTACTCCAGCAGGGATTTTCCCTGTAATAGTGTACTGCAGATCAATACTAAATCTAACTCTTTAATTAGATTGTACACAGTGTGCCCTGAAATATACAGTGCATTCAGAACAAATGTGCATTTTAGTCACATTCTGTTTTTTTACAGTTTACAATAACAATTTTTTATAATTTTAGTTTAAGTTAGCAATAACAGCACTGCATGGTACAGTTTACCTTATTTTGTTGCAATAATATTTATTCCTAGTGAGTTTAAATCAGCAAGAGGACTGATGCTATATGAATTTTTTTCATCTAGTTATAACAAGGGCTTGATGGAAAAGCAGTTTTGTTTTCTCTCTCCGTCACATGGCTGGCTCTATTGATCACGTATGCCCCGCGGCCCCTCACACACCTCATTAGAAGTGTGTTCAGCACTCGGGCTGAGAGGTGTTTGCTAATTGCTGCTTTGCTCGTAAGCTCATTGATCCAGTGGAACCGAATAATGAAGGTGTGCTCCGATCCATCCAGAGGTCAAAGGTCAAGCAGGAATGGGCAGTTTGCTGGTTGAGGGCAGAACTGATATGATATCTGAGCACTCGATAAGTCAGGGTTTTTATCGCAGTGCTGCCAGTGCTTTCAGATCGCAATTTATCTGTCCAAATTTGTCAACCTGGTGATGTCCGTTGTTCAAGCTTGAAGCAGGTGGTGGTTGTTTGCTGATGATTGTCTGTAATTCAGTCCGGGCTCTGGCAGAGATTTGTAAGTGTGTTTGATGTAGGGCAGACTGCTGGGGTTCTTGTGGTCGTGCAGTAATGGA